CATATAAAAAAGTAAATGTATAGATTGAAATTGTGCGTTATTTATGTGTTTTAAAATCCCTTTATTTTTCATTTTCTCTCTTTCTGTTCAGGTTTTTAAAGAAGAAGAATATATTTAATATTAAATATCTAACTCAATTTAATATTGAATATCTATCTAAATTGAATATTGAATATCTAGTTCAATTTAATATTCAATATCTACTTCAATTTAATATTAATATCTATAATTTAATATTGAATATATAACTCAATTTAATATTGAATAGCTAACCCAATTTAATATTAAATATCTAACTTATTTTATTATTGAATATCTAATTATTTCATAACGCTTAAAATATAATTTAAATGAGCATTACCTTAATACTTTCACTGCCGGTCACTTGAGGATGTGTTGATAGTTATTGCCCTCCGTAGAAACAGGTTTTTTCCAAAAGATGGTTTACCTTTTATAGAAAATATGATTGAAAAGTGATAATAAATCATAGTTGCGTGTATCATAGTGATTACTAAGTAATATTTAAACTTTTCCTGATAGAACATTTTGTCTACGCCTAGAACATGATGAGCTACAGAGATAAAATTATTTCTTAAATGTCAGATTTTGTACTGATGTGTGATGTGCAAAAATGAAACAAAATCATATAAAAAAGGGATAAAATGCATTGTTTTAAGATACTTTATCACTAACAGATATCTATTATTATAAGTTGATTATTATTGCATACCTTAGGCTTTTTACATTCATTTCTGTCATAACTAACAGAATGCTTAGCCAACAAATTTGCAATTTTTCACCTGTTAGAGGCTTTTTTAGATTCCATTTTTCTTTCTTTTTTTGAATATGAAGGTCCTGCAGAACTATCAACTATAACACTCATATTATAAGATTCCTTTAATTACTATCAAAGCTATAAATTCGAAACCACATAACTTTACAACTATCTTCTAATATTTATCCAACGCTAATATCAGTAGATACATCGAACTTTTGTCGATTGAAACGCACACAAAATGTTCCAAAGCAGATTTTTCCGCACGAAATAGTGAATGGCCTCTAAAATACCATTCCAGACCACGCACTAGTGCATGATTAGCTCTTTAGTGTTGACGCCACGTCATGTGATGGTGTGAGACAGGCAACGAAAGCGTTAAATAAATGAAATAGAGCAAAAGCCAAAATGAAAGTTACAAAATCATTTAAAAAAAAGAGTATTATTAGATTATAGGCACCATATGAGCATGTAGGAACAGTAGTGTACTGTAGGAACAGTAGTGTACTAAAAATAAGCTATTCTATTTTGCTTTATTATACATATAATGTTATTAAATAATGAATATGTTGTTTGAAAAATTCAGACTACAAAATGTTTTCGTTAAATATATCACTTTGATGAAGTATTTTGTTAGAAGTACATTTTTAAAAATAGTGTTGCTTCTTTTAATGTTGTCATTAAAGTAATGTTTCTTTTAATAATATTACATTTCTTTTAATAATGTTTCTTTTCGTTTAGAATTTAAACTTTTGAAAACTGTAGAAAAATACATTTACATCCTAAAATATGTTTTCCACTTCTCATTTTTCTTCCTTGAAAAATAAATCAGCAATGATTAAAAATAATAAAAATGAAAAATGATTTTCGAGTCTTTTAAAGTGTTAATTTTCTTACTTTTATTATAATTTCACGATAAATATTTTTTAACTATTAAAATATCTGAATAAACAGAATTTCAATTTCCAAAGCAAACGTTGAATTTTTGATTTCAGGATAAATAAAAACTTCGCGAAGTCCAAGCTTTTTATCTCGATTCAGATCTCTTCCTTTATTCAATTTTATTGAAAACTTTCGGGATGAACTGAGGTCCCATAAAACAGAAGATCAGCGTGCTGATCAAAAAGTTGTTGAGCGATGTATTTCCCGCCTTTAAACAGAATAGTCAGTGAATGAGGAACCAGACTGCATTAGCTGAAATTCAATTTCCAAAGTAAACTATTGCAAATTTTCGATTACCGGATAAATAAAAGATCAAGAAATAGATTTTCCCTTCCTCTTACACTAGATCGATGTGGAAGGTCTCTTCTGCATGCAGATTTATTGTTACCATTCCTCACGTAGAGCATGAAACCTTCCAGAAGATGAACTGAGCTACCTTAAAATAAAAGTATCAGGGGGCATGCTTACTCTTTTCTCTATCTGTCTTGTTACATGTAGAGAGTATTTCTTAGATACAGATTTATTGTTCCCATCCCTATATATACTTTGAAACATTCAGGGGTTGAACAGAGGTCACATAAAAAAAGCCCAACATGTTGCATCAATGGCATTCCCCACCTATAAGGTAAGAAAGGTACCTATAAGTTCTGAGTTCTGAGAAAAATCTCTCGCTTTCATTTCGTATTGGAAATGATCCAGAGCAATTAATACCTTGATGCGATGTGGGTGGTATGGGGGAGAAATCATTATGTAATATATTAGATTTTGCAGCATTGCAAAGTTCTGGAAAATCGGCCATCCCGGAGGGAGAATATATATATATATATCAAAGAGCCCATCAAGAAATTTCATTATTCTCCCTCCGGGATGGCCGATTTTCCAGAAATTGATTTTAAGCCGAAATTCCTTTATATATATATATATATATATATATATAGGCAATATATATAAAGGCAATATATATATTGGAATATCAAATAGGCAATAAACATAGGCAATAGGCATATATAGGCAATATATATAAAGGCAATATATATATTGGAATATCAAATAGGCAATAAACTCATGCCTATTGCCTGAATATCATATATGCAATATATATAATATAGGCAATATATAATATCATATAGGAATATCATATAGGCAATATATATAAAGGCAATATATATATTGCAATATCAAATAGGCAATAAACTCAGTGGACAGGAACAATATCTGAAATGTAGCAAACGTAGATTAGTTGGTGAAAATCATGAAAATGTGCATCCATGTTTTGATGGCAAGAAGAGGCTACAAAAAGTACAGTAATTATAAAACCGTTTATTTAACAGTTATTTGTAACATAGATAGCACCATACAGTATTGAAATGTGAACAATGTTTCCAAAAGTATTCTTCGAAGTGTCAGCCGTTAAGGTTTTTTGAAATCTATCGTCATTTTTATCGCTACATTGACGCAGATCGTCGCTAACGTCATTGTCACTACAATGATGCAAAAAGGACTCCTGTGTTCACTGGAAAATAATAGATGTATTATTCATGAATACCTCAGTGTTAAGAAATCCGCGGATATGTGTGATGACATTTCATAAATTAAATTTTAGGATGATTTCATAGGAAAAAATCTAAATGTATTGAGATCTTGGATGCCAAGGCATGAATCCAGGAAATTCAGATTCATCTCTTTAAAGATATAGCATGGAGATGGTTACACATTTCTGTACCCATAGCCTGCATACATATTTAAGCGATTTTCGCTTACTGAACGTTTCTACAAAGTGTTTTAAACAATTTTCATGTATTTTTATGTATAAACCTTGAATCCTTGTTAAATCTTTTTCATCTTTCTTTTGCAGTTGCAATCGTCGAGTGTGATTAACGGGAGCAAGATGACCGCGTGTGTGTTCGATTGCTCTGCCTCCTGACCTCTAGCACGATGGAACCGCACCAGCAGTTTGGTGAGACGCAGCGCAGCGCTACTCAAGTCAAAAGAGAAGTCAGCTTGGATTCGCAATGTCAGAGTTCAGGTAAAACGCACATGCATTTTATGCGATAGCAAACACTGCCTCAATTATGTCAATATCATTCGCTGTTCTTTAATAAATAAATACACATGGTCATTTTAAATGTAATTTTTATGGCATTAAATATTGAAATATAATTGCATAGCATTTTTAAAATAGAACCAAAGAATACATTTAGAAAACTAAATGAGTCGTAAACGTTTGTGTGGATCAATTAATTGTTTGTGAAAGTAATTATTCAGTGAAAAATCTCGCGCTTTCATTTCGCATTGGAAATGATCCAGAGCAATTAATACCTTGATGCGATGTGGGTGGTATGGGGGAGAAATCATTATGTAATATATTAGATTTTGCAGCATTGCAAAGTCCTGGAAAATCGGCCATCCCGGAGGGAGAATATATATATATATATATATATCAAAGAGCCCATCAAGAAATTTCATTATTCTCCCTCCGGGATGGCCGATTTTCCAGAAATTGATTTAAAGCCGAAATTCCTTTATATATATATAGTGTGAGTGTTTGACAGTTTGAGTAATGTAATTATGAAATATTGTAACCGTGTAATGCATTAAATATTGGCTTATATACATTTTAATTGCAAATTTTACATGTAACTTCCTTTCTTTTTTAGTAGACAAAGATAAATTTTCAACGAAATTATTTTCTTTTTAAAATATTAAAATAGATGAATTTTGGAAAATATTTTAATCGTGATTAAAAATTATTTTTTTTTTAAATTTTTATGTCTTCTTTTAATGTGACATAAAAATGAATTACAAAGTTTCCACTTAAAAAAAATTAACCATCCAAAATTCAGTTCCCGAAAATGTCTAGCTAGTCTCATCAAATATGACTTTATTATGCTTATCAATATGATTATAATATATTATTATACTATATAGTTTGAATTGAAATGTTCATTAAAGTATTTTTATGCAAAATTTAGTCATCAAACAATAAAATTTAATAAAAAATTAATGTAAGGACATTACACATATCTACATTGTACAATATAAATTATGATAAAATTTAGCCAAGCCCACGAGCCCATCATGATTGAAGGGGAAGGAAACTGTTGTGATGGAGCACCCGTAGGTAGAAGCCTGACTTTTGCTCCGTGACGCTCTTACAGTCATAGGAGACCGGGACCTAAAAAGTGGATTCCGAACCACTACAAACATCCATGGCATTCGAACGAAACCCGTGGCACCGAGCGCCAGAGCGCTAGACACTCGGCCATTCAGGTCCCAAATTTGCCAACGGCAAGTGTTCCCAGGTGGTACCCAAGTACTGACCGCGCCCAATGATGCTTAACTTCGGTGATCTAACGAGAACCAGTATATTCAGCATGGTACGGCCGTTGGCTTTATTTAGCTGTTATACATTATAAATATATGTTATAAGAAATTTCTTAAGTGAATATATATATACATGAATACGTGTGTGCGTGTGTGTGTAAATTTGCTTTAAATTTCAGAGAAATTTATTAATAAAATAAAGGGGTTCTCAGACTTATATAGATATGATGCACCATCCTAAAAAGAATATAAAAATACAACCAGAATATTAATATTAAGATTTGCTTAAGAAAGTTGTCTTATGAATTTTAAATGACCAATTTATAATACCATAATATCAAAAAAATATCACCCAAGATAAGACTTATAACGTTGCTTTCTTCTATTTGCCAAGGAATTTTGCATGTGTTCATTCTAGGTTAGAAATGTAGTAAAAGCAGATTCGTTGGTACCAATGATACACAACAGTGAGACTACTACATTTTTCTACCATAAGTTATGGGGGATTTTCAACATCACAACATTCTTCACTATTTATCATTCTAGGACAAAAAAATCCTTCTGTTGTGTTAGAAGAGCCTTATCTGCCAACTCAACAGAAAAATTTATTTGTTCTATAGATTTACCAATACATCCTGAAATGATATTTTGCAAAAATATTTAGTTGAATTTTTTAAATAGAAAGATCATTTTAACTCAAGTAACTCTTCTATCACATATTTTAATAAATTTAAAATAACAACGGCATCTCATTATTATGAGATAAAATATAATTTCAGATTTAACTTGATAGAAAATGTTTGAATTAAAATAGAAAGCTGTTTAAAAAATATTTATTTTTACTGCTAAATATTTAACTGACTAAGCACATAAAAGGTCTAAAATTTATGTTGGTTATTTATTTTTTTTTAGTTCTAAGGAGAAAAACGCCATATATTTTAATAAATGTTTTAGTTGAAATATTATGTACGAATTTATTATTTTATAAGCTTCATAGTAAGCTACAAGTTCTACTGTACTATATAGCCCAGTCAGTAAAAACTAAGATTCATATTTCACTTTAACTTAAGAAAAGAAAAAAAAATTAAGAAATAGATAAATAAAACTATAAAAAGTAACAAAACAATGGTTTTTCTCAGCTTTTTAATATCTGCTTATTTATCTCTTTGAAGGAAGTAAAGTGTATGAATTAATTCCACTATTATCGCTGAAAATTCTCTATAAAATAAAATATTTCTTGTTGAAATTTTTTCATAGGAATATGATATTCTGCAAAGGAATTTTTTTATGTAATGTTAAACATTAACAGTATATAGTTTACTTCAAAGTGTTATAAAAATAAAACATTCGACTATAATATATGACAACATAATATCCCGCATACATAAAATCATACACATTTATCAATTTTATGCAAAACAGATTTCCATATTAGATTATATATGACTTTTGAAAATAGCATAGATGATTGAAAATTCTATTGCTTTTATGTGTATGAAAGAATATCAAAAACATATTACATTAATATATATATTATCTAGATATTTGATATAAATATTAATTTATACAACTGCAATATATTTTAAATCATGAACATAAAATTTTCAATATTGATTTTTTTAAGGAAATATAAACATAGTTTAATATTATTTTTATAAATTCTAAAATTGAATTTATAAACTTAAATTAAGTTCTTTATAAAACTGAAATTATTTAAAAAAAATTAATGTATTCTAATTTTTTATACAGTATATAATATTTTTATTACAAGTAGTGAAGTTTAAAGTTTTTTAAATTAATATAAATGGAAATTGAAAACAATTACTTGCATTTTAAGTTATTGAGATATTTTTATTTATTTTTGGAATTTTTTTTCTTGCTTGAGAAATGATATAATGCCAATAATCATGAACATTATATTAAAATATTCCTGTTGCCATAATAATTTTAGTTGATAACTGTATGAAAAAATTATATAAAAAATGATATATTAAATAAATATTTAGTATATACCATTTTATTTTTTAATTTAGTTTTGTAAAAAAAAAAAATTTTAAGTCTTAAAATTTGTAATTAAAATTTATTAGAAGTAAAAATATAAATAATAATTAAACAAAAAATAAAAATAATAATTTATTAATTCTTATTTTTGTAGCTAAACATATATAACATTTATATGTTTCTTAAATGCATCTACAAAATAACAGCAACAAATATTGGAAAATAAAAATAAAGTCAATTGAACACGCAACAATACATCAAATCATTTTGAACTGTGCTTAAACATTAAACAATATTTCGAAATATGCATTTAATCAGCTACAACCATACATTTATGCATGGACTGCAATCACAATTTCACGACGAAATAATTAAACAAAAGAATTAACAAATGATTGGAGGAAACATATAACGTAAGGTAAAACTCTTTCAGTTCTCCATTATGCACTCTTGGCGACATGTTATTTCCCTACATTCTTTCAATGCACTTTTTGCAGCGAAACTCATCGGAAATTTGTCATCTTTCGAATCAATTTCCATGCTGTTATCAACGCTCGCAAACTGATGCACCGCACTCGAATTTCAAATTTACTTATTTATTTATTTAATAAATTATGAAGCAAATTAAGCGAAATGAATTCCAACGCCAAACGGGGAAATCAGTGCAAAGCTGGGATTCAAATGATGTTGCCTTGGTTCATAAAATTGTTTGTAATTTTGGAATGAAATGCAAATGCAGCTTTACAAATTTAACTAATTAAATATCGTTACATGGGTGGCTGGGTAGAAATATGACTTGTAACTAAATTTTCTAATTAAATTTGGAACTTACGAGCCGAGAAATATTTGCAACTGAGAACACTTGTTCAAATTCATATTTACTATTTTATAAATTGAGAAAACCCGAAGCATAATGTTCAAGTTTAAGTAGTTATTCCTAATTTGAAGATATTTCAATCATGTAAACTTATGGGCAAAGCGAATTTTGTTAGAATATTGTTTTGCCATAATGAAGTATAAAATTTTTAATTCAAGTAACTCTTCTACAGCATATTTGAATAAAATTTAAAATAACATGGCATCCCATTATTCTGATATATAATATAATTTCACATTTAACAAAAAAAAATGTTATAATTAAATTGGAAAGCTTTTAAAAACCTTTTTATGATTAAACACATAAAATGTGTAAAATTTATGATGATTATTTATTTTTTAATTCTTAGCAGAAAAACATCGTATATTTTAATAAATGTCTTACTTGAAATATTATGTACGAATTTCTTATTCTGTAAGATTAATAATAAGTTACGAGTTGTATTTTGTATAGCCCAGTCAGTATAAAACTAAAATTCATGGCTCACATTAATATAAAAAAAGGGGGGAAAAATAGGAAAGAGATAAATAAAACTATAAAAAAATATCAAAACAATGGTTTTCCTGAACTATTTAACATCTGCTTATTTATCTCCTTGAAGAAAGTGAAATGCTTCAATTCATTCCACTATTATCGCTGAAAATACTCTATAAAATAAAATATTTCCTGTTGAAATATTTCATAGAAATATGATATTCTCTAAAAGAAATTTTTTATGTAATGTTAAACATTAATAATATAGTTTACTTCAATGTGTTTTATAAAAAAAAAAAACATTCAACTATAATATATCACAACATAATATCACGCATACATAAAATCATTCGCATTTATCAATTTTATGGATAGCAACTTTTCATATTAGATTATATAGATGGCTTTTGAAAATAGCATACATAATTGAAAATTCTATTGCTTTTATGTGTATGAAAGAATATCAAAAACATATTATATTAATATATATATTATCTAGATATTTGATATAAATATTAATTTATACAACTGCAATTTATTTTAAACCATGAGCATAAAATTTTCAAAATTGATTTTTTTCATGGGAATATAAACATGGATTAATATATCGATTTATTTTATTTATATACACACTATTCTTTAACTTATAAAAAAAATGAATTTAACCAGGATTAATTTTATAAATTTTAAAATTTGATTTATAAACTTAAATGATGTAAATTATAAAACTGATATTACTTTAACAAAAATTACTGTATTATAATTTTCTATACAATGCAGAATGTTTTTATTATAAATAGTGAAATTTAAATTTTCTACATTCATATAAATGAAAATTGAAAAGAATTATTTGCATTTTAATTTGTTCAGCTATTTTTTATTTATATTTGAATTTTTTTCTTGCTTGGAGAAATATAATGGCAATAAACATTAATAAAAATTTAAAATTATTGCCATTGTATCATTTCTAAAATATTATGTATTCATAAAAAAATATTTCGCATTTCATCTCAAAAAAAAAGAATTTATTTATTATAAGGAAAAATAATAATATTTGATTATAAAGGTAATTCCTCTTTTTATAGAAATGCGTGTGAAAACAATTAAAAAATAAATAAATATTTAATGTATACCATTTATTTTTCTATTTTATTTTTATAGAAAATGGCTTTTTAAGTCTTAAATAGAACAATAACTTTTTGCGTTTATTATGTAATGCATAAAATAATGTAATCCATTAAGCATGTAATTACAGTATAAGTAATTACTACTACTAAGTGCAGTAAGTACAGTAAATAAAGTACAAAACTAAGATTCAAGTAGTACAGTAATTGCTGCTAAGTAATTACATATGTAATTACAGTATTGAGTATGTAATTACTTATAATGTAATCCATTAAGTAATGCTATAAAATAACAGCAATAAATAATGTTAAATAAAAAGATTGCAAATTGATTGGTAACAATAAATCAAGTCATTTTAAAATATGCGTATACATTAAACAATACTTCGAAATATGCATCTAATCAGCTACAAGCCATACAATTATGCATGGACTGCAATCACTATTTCACGACGAAATAAATAAACAAAAGAATTAACAAATGATTGGAGGAAATATATAACATAAGGTACAATACGTTGATGAATTCTAGCAGTTCTCAATTATGCACTCTTGGTTACATGTTATTTCGCTATATTCTTTCAATGC